CTTCTCTATTGCGAAACAATGAGAAACGTATTCTGTTCTGTTTTTTTCCTTTATGGGGTAAAATTTGCTTTGATGTAGTTTAACCTTATTTGTCTGGTCTTTTCAGCATTTTCCTGTAGTTGTGCCAAAATACAGACTTTTTGTTTTAAACCTGTTGGAGAGAGGGAAAGTTTAAAGAACAATTATAATATTGGTTGTCATTTTTATGGTGGTAGTTTGAAGTTACTTGGTCATTTATAAGTAGCACTCCTTTGGTTAAATACCAAATTTTGCATGAGATTCTAAATAATTGTTTAGATTAATGTATTGCTTTGAGTGTAACTGGGGTTTATATGATGTATTTTTGCACTTATTCTGCTTTTTTGACAGAGTAAAGCTACAGAGTCTATTAACATGTTGAAAATATCAGGGATGATGTTCTTTTTCCTGTTGGATCTTCAAAATTAATGGTCCACCTTACTGTCAATCATTATGGTGATATGTTTATGTAAGACTCTCTTACATGATCGTCCTCATTTTCTCTTATCGCTGGTGAGTCTAATGAAAAACTTGCAAATTTTCTTTTGGAAAGTAAGCTTGTATGCACGATGCAAACAGCAAATTTCAAACAGAGCGCGCACGAGGAGAGATGGCATTGTGTATGCTCTCGCACACATTTAATATGGGTTACCTCTCGGGAGTGGGTATTTTGTGCGCATGCACAACCCTATAAGTGGAGAGGGTGAGTCTTTTCAAAAATTCGCGATTTTTAAGGCATTTAGCTTGATCAGTCTGAAAAATATATTTTTAGAAATAAAATGGAAGACCAATTAAAACATTTCTGGGGCATTAAACACAGACTGAATACTTACCTGATGTAATTTTATACATTTCTGTTTGCAATCAGTTTTCCACTTTACGTTCATTGGATTTTGTGTTTGGAGTTTAGAGGAAAGAGATTAATTTAATAAGGCTGAACGATGTGGAAAATGTTCACCGCTGCAAATACTTTCCAGATGTGCTGTAGTTTGAAAACTCTTGACAAACCTGGCTGCATTACCTACTGTCACATTACATGTTCCTGCGTTTGCTGTGTTGCAAGTTTTCCTGTTAATGAGTCGTTGTGACTACACATGACACAACCACATGATGACTTGGCTTTTATGAAAACGCACGTTCAAGTTAAGTGGATATGGATTGAAAGACCGAGCTGCTGTGTTGCCTCCTGAATGCTCCACCCAGATGCATCTAAAAGTGAAAACTTAACCTTTACTCTGGCTGATTTCTATAAAGATCAGTTCTGTGACTCCTCTTTTCCAGCCAGTGTTTTCTGCCCTGTTGCCTGGTGCTCTGGGTGGGATGCCATGGCAGCGAGGGGTGGAGCCGTCTCTTGAATTCTTTCACTGTGTGTTTATAACCCTAAAAGCCCTGTTAAAAATACAGCTCTTCTGCATTTAGACAGAACAACATGTAAATAAAGGGCAACAAACAATGCTTTCATGTAAATAAGTTAGCTTTGCTTACGTTTTTAAAGAATGTTAGTTGAAGTGTTTTTTTTCTCCATGTTTCAGGGATTTTTTTGGGGACTTTTTCAGATTTTTCATCGAGGTCTACGAGGTCGTTTCTCATGATGCCTCCTTCTATTCCTGCTCATGTTTTCCTGTTAACCCGATACAATCTTAAATGTATAAATAAGGATGTCAACCAGTCTGTAGCCCTTTGCTGCATATCCCAAGTGTTAAATAAATCTGCAGGCTCTGTATTCATACTCACACTCAAAAGGTTGGGATATACTCTGTTCTTTATCACAGAAGAAAGGATAGACGGTTGATGCAATTTTAAATATTTGGATTTAGATGATTGATTTGGTCAGTAGGGAAATAAACAGGACCACAGAGGAGAGTATTAGAGTCGCATAGTGATGCAGCGGGATCCAAAGGGGGAATCCTCCACCGGGAAAGGCTGATGAGCAACAGGCCTTCCAGTTAAGACACTCTGCTCTGTCTTCCTGACTTAAAGGAAGAAGACGGGTGCCGGTTGAACATTAGCGTCAGAATGGAACATGGCAACATGTAGAAAAGTCCTGAAGATTAAAGCTGAACAACATGCGGATGTGTTCAATATGACTAGAGGCTGCCTTCGGTAATGTTTGGTCACTTCGTCGGCCACGAATTGTAATAATGATGATCTCAGTGGGTGAATGATGGGATGTTGTGGATAAGAGTCAATAACAATCACACTGATCATTGCAGGGTTGTGCAGTCATAATGTGATGGAGGCCTGCTGAAGAAGCAGGGCTTCTCTAAACTGCATCTCTGAGGATATTTGCAGCCCTAATGTGTGTGGAGCAGGATGAAAGTCCAGAATGTCATCAGTTTGGCTCAAGGGTGCTTATTCCTGCCAAAAGCCTTGAACATTTGTAGCTAGGCAATCTGGGGGGGATTTTACGTAGTTAAAATCAGGCTGTGTGCTCTCATGCAGGCTCAGGTACAGTAGGATGCTAAACACATCTGCAGCAGTGCTCATTTTATAAGACTGATAGAGCTCCTTTAGTTCCCATGCCAGGACTACTAGGGTTGTTTTTTGTTTTTTTTTATAGGGAAAATAATGAATGGATTGTTCAGCAATGAGTGTTGGCCTAGTGGTTAGCTAGTCCTCTTAGAAGGTTGCATGTAGACAGTTCAACCCCCACAGCCTGCACTCTGAGTTCCCGAGCAAGATCCTTAACCCCGGATTGCTGCCTAGGAACCGCACAATGGCAGTCCACTGCTCCGCAAGGGGATTGGTTAAGATTAGGGATGGAACGGTTTATGAAAACCATCCGAACCGTTCGTTTCGCGGGTGTTGCGTTCGGTTCATGCGCTGCTCCTTTTTCTCATAGGCGAAGCGTGTACACTCCGGAGCAGAAGGTGGCGGTACTGCGATCAAAGCCAACCACCAGTAGTAAACAAGAAGAAGAAGAAGCGAAGCAGCGTAGCCGGGTGTAGCAGGAAAAAATCAATTGTTGTGGAGTTTTGTGTGGGTATGGCGAGTGGGAAAAGACAGGAGTTGGAAGACGCGCCAGCAGCACTTTATAGGTCTGCTGTATGGGACCACTTTGCATTTAGAGTGACCTACGATGACGGCGGAAAGAAAGTTGTGGATAAAAGTGCAACAGTGTGCAAGCATTGTGTAACACGTTTTGTTTATGCTAACAGCAACACGACCAACATGTCAGGCTAACAATCAACATACAGGTGCTGGTCATAAAATTAGAATATCATGAAAAAGTAGATTGATTTCAGTAATTCCATTTAAAAAGTGAAACTTGTATATTATATTCATACATTACATACAAACTCATATATTTCAGATGTTTATTTTGTTTAATTTTGATGATTACAAATGACAACAAATGAAAATCTCAAATTCATCATATCAGAAAATTAGAATATTGTGAAAAGGTTCAAAATTGATGGCCCCTGGTGCCACACTCTAATCAGCTAATTAACTCAAACCACCTGCAAAAGCCTTTAAATGGTCTTTCAGTCTAGTTCTATAGGCTACACAATCATGGGGAAGACTGCTGACTTGACAGTTGTCCAAAAGACGACCATCGACACCTTGCACAAGGAGGGCAAGACACAAAAGGTCATCGCTAAAGAGGCTGGCTGTTCACAGAGCTCAGTGTCCAAGCACATTAATAGAGAGGCGAAGGGAAGGAAAAGATGTGGTCGAAAAAAGTGTACAAGCAAGAGAGATAACCGCACCCTGGAGAGGATTGTGAAACAAAACCCATTCAAAAATGTGGGGGAGATTCACAAAGAGTGGACTGCAGCTGGAGTGAGTGCTTCAAGAACCACCACACACAGACGTATGAAAGACATGGGTTTCTGCTGTCACATTCCTTGTGTCAAGCCACTCTTGAACCACAGACAGCGTCAGAAGCGTCTTGCCTGGGCTAAAGAGAAACAGGACTGGACTGCTGGTGAGTGGTCCAAAGTCATGTTCTCTGATGAAAGTAAATTTTGCATTTCCTTTGGAAATCAAGGTCCCAGAGTCTGGAGGAAAAGAAGAGAGGCACTTCATCCACGTTGCTTGAAGTCCAGTGTAAAGTTTCCACAGTCAGTGATGGTTTGGGGTGCCATGTCATCTGCTGGTGTTGGTCCATTGTGTTTTCTGAGGTCCAGGGTCAACGCAGCCACATACCAGGAAGTTTTAGAGCACTTCATGCTTCCTGCAGCTGACCAACTTTTTGGAGATGCAGATTTCATTTTCCAACAGGACTTGACAGCCGGAACACAGTGCCAAAGCTACCAGTACCTGGTTGAAGGACCATGGTATCCCTGTTCTTAATTGGCCAGCAAACTCTCCTGACCTTAACCCCATAGAAAATCTATGGGGTATTGTGAAGAAGAAGATGCAATACACCAGACCCAACAATTCAGAAGAGCTAAAAGCCACTATTAGAGCAACCTGGGCTATCATAACACCTGAGCAGTGCCACAGACTGATCGACTCCATGCCACGCCGCATTGCTGCAGTAATACAGGCCAAAGGAGGCCCAACTAAATACTGAGTGCTGTACATGCTCATACTTTTCATGTTCATACTTTTCAGTTGGCCAACATTTCTATAAATCCTTTGTTTTTATTGGTCTTCAGTAATATTCTAATTTTCTGATATGATGAATTTGAGATTTTCATTTGTTGTCATTTGTAATCATCAAAATTAAACAAAATAAACATCTGAAATATATGAGTTTGTATGTAATGTATGAATATAATATACAAGTTTCACTTTTTAAATGGAATTACTGAAATCAATCTACTTTTTCATGATATTCTAATTTTATGACCAGCACCTGTATACCAAACCGAACCATGGATTTTGTGAACCGTTCCACCCCTAGTTAAGATGCAGAAGTGAATTTCTCCATTATGAGATCAATGATGTTCAAATATTATTAGCAACACGATCCCATCAACATGAGGATTTTAGCAAAAACACAAGGAGGATTAAATCTAATCATGCTGCTGTTCCTCCTCTACAGGCATCATGTCCAAATCAGACTACCCACCGGGCTATGAGGACTCCAGCGGTCCGATGTACGCACCCCAGGGCGGGGGCTACCCACCTCCACCCGCATATGGCTTCCCATCCTATGGTGGTCCACAACCAGGCCAGGCTTACCCTCCCTATCCGAGCGGTCCAAACACCCCTCTCTACCCGGGCCAGCCAGCGGCTTATCCTTCAGCACCGTACCCAGGACAGCCTCACCCTGCAGGGCCACAAGGAGCAGGCTACCCCTCCCCACCACCCATGCCTCCAATCATCCCTCCGACCATCCCATCAGGGGTGATGTCTTCAGGTGAGATGCCTTTTCAGCTGTTGGTTTCTAGAACAACCAATGCTTGATGTCTCACTTCCCTCTGTATATAATTTAATAATAAACTTCAGAAAAAGCTCTTTGAGAATCAGCTTTCACTGCCTCGCCCCGGTTTGTTCTGGCTGTGTTTAAGTACTGGACAATATATCAACATTTTTCAAGTATCCATTTTTTTTTTTGTTTGTTTAACAAGAGATTTCAAATGAGAATGTTTTTTTTAGTCAAGATGTTATAATTTTGCTTATGCTGGGAGGTTATTTCTTTCAGCCATTATTTTCACCACAGGTGGTTTTCTATAAATACCTCAAGGAAAGCTAAGCACTTAGGAAAATATCAATATTACCTTTGGTCCACATCGCAGAGTCCTTTAAAGTTTTTATCATGCTTTGTTAGTGCATTCCAGCACTACCATCCATGTTTGCCTCTTTTTTGAGACCTTTTTTTGAAAATTATTATCACCATTTCAAATGTAAGACATTGTTTCAATTTGTTGGACATGAGTAAAAAATGGAGCACAGCTCTGCACAATTTGGGACTTCTGGTAACCTTATACCCCATTAACACTACCCTTGAAAAACCGATCCATGCTGAGACCGGTCCGAGCTCGGCCTGGTTAACTGATCCGAGCTTGGTTCTGACGACCGTTTACACATCACGCTATCTCGGTTCCTCGACTCCTCGCCTCCTAGTGACGATCTGCGGTATTACTGCCAGTATTGAAGGAGGAAATCGAGCAGTTGGTGGCGGTAATGCACCAAAAGTTGTTTGCCAACCGCCATAAAACACAAGAAGAAGAAGACGAAGAAGGAGGGAATCAAGCAAGTCAAGTCTAGCTCAGTTCAGTTTGCTTTCCATTTACACACGATAAATTATCTCAGTTACTGAGCTCGGACCGGTCTCGGCCTGGTTTTTCAAGGGTAGTGTAAATGGGGTACTAATGTCCATCCACCAGTAAACCTCAGTTTTAAAATATTTCAATTAATTCTTTATTGGATTAAATTCTGTATTTGTCTTGGCCATTCTTGTTTGTTCACTCGCTTCATCTGGGTGGCGGGGGCAGCAGTCTCAGACCTCCAGCTCTGGTGGGGGAAGCCTGAGGCTCGCCCAGGCCATAGTCCCTCCAGCGTGTCCTGGGTTGTCCCCTGGGCCTCCTCCCGATGGGATGTGCCTTGAACACCTCCCAAGGAAGATGTTCAAGGAGCATCTGAAAAAGATGTCGTGATCCAAATTTCCTAACCATAGGGGAGGGTGTCCTTACTTCCCTGTCCCTACAGACACGCACATTCACAGCATGACTCTTCCAGTAGGGCTGCAACTAGGGATAATTTCGCTAATTGATTAATCTGTCGATTTATTTTTTACTTTTAATAATTATATAGCAGCGCCGTGCTTTGGCGCAGTGGTTAGTGCACACAACCCATGTATGGAGGCCTTAAGGCCAATTTACGCTTCTGACGCATAGCCTCTGCAACTGTCAAATCTGTCTCTGTATGCGTGACCACGCCCTCCGCGCAGAGGTTCTACAACTGTTGGCGCACACCTCAAAAAAATCCTGACTATGTGTCGCGGGGTCGCAAACACACGCAGACCTCAAGCAGAAGTGCGCAGCTGTCATTGGTCCTTGGTATGCCTTTCAGGCTGTCTGTGTGGTCGTCTTTCTCGATTCTGAGCCTGGGCGTGCCATTTTTAAAAACCGAGGAACAACTACAATGCACAACTACAAGTAATGGTTAATTGTTTTTTTTGCCAACTCCATTAACAGAACCTGTTCCTCTTTGATGTCTAGTAACTCTAGATCCATCTCCGTGACCGTGATATCTTGCAGACGCGCCATTGTTGTTTTGGAAGAGAAACACTCCCGCCAGCGCTGCCAAAGTTCTTGGACCCATCTGCCAAAGTTCTTGCGGGTTCTCGAATAGGCTCCTCCTTGCACTTTGGCAGGAAACTGCTGTGCGTCCCTAGAAATTCCAGACCGACGGTGTGGAAGCATACAAGCAAAGCTGGTTCGCGACCAGACCCAAGTGACATTTGATGGGTGCGGTTGCAGAAGTATAATCTGCCCTTTAGTCCTCGATGCAGGCGACCCGGGTTCGAATCCGACCTTTGGTTCTCTGCCTCATGTCTCTCCCCCTCTCATACCCCCTTCCTGTCAGACTACTGTCCATAAAAACGAGCCACTAGTGCTGTAAAATCTAAAAAATAAATAAATATTTATATAGGAAAAGATTTCTTAAAAATGTGTATACAGCATTTAAACCAGTTAAAACTAAAACTTTTCCACTGAAAGAGTTCCTGATAGACGCTCAAAAACATTTATTTTTTTTATGCAAGATGTTTATATATTTTTCACATTTTGGTATAAAAACTCCTCTAAATGGGTTGCTTTTTCAGCTAAATGCATGTTTTAGAGTCTCTTTACTCCAGTTAAAGATGAATAGATTCCTAAATTAGTTAATTTCAATAACAATTTAATCCGATTAATTGTTTTATCCCTAGCTTCCCGCACCCCATATCACATTAGGGGAATGTTTCTTGACCAACCCTGCATATTGTTCCTAGTTAACTCTACAGTAATCTTGTATATTTGTAATTATTAATGTAAAAAGCATACAGCTGTGGTTCTAATGAGTGTATTTTATCCTATGCTTCCAATTATGTTAAGTGATGAACTTCCTTATTTTTCCTGATTTCCGACCACTTGTTCTTTCCCACTTAATGCAGATGAGGAGTTTGCTGTGAGCGACGGCAACTGGGACGACCTGAGTGTTCGGCACGCCTTCATCAGAAAGGTAACGTTCCAGTGTTTGGCTTTTGTTCGTTGACAGGCATCCAGGAATATTTATCTTAAGAGCTGCAGTGTTCCTCATTCATGCAAAGATGCTTGTTTTGTAGATGCACATTTTTAAACACAGAGCTGCACTATAGCTCTAGAATAAGGAATTTTTAGCCAAGATAGTTTATATCTTGGCTAAAAATGTAAATCCAAATTCATCAGATGCCTGATTTGCATAAGCTTCATTTGTTTATCATTGAGCTCCCTTTAACAAATGCCCGCATAATTGGACTCCACTTTTATTAGCAGATTTCCATCTTTCCAGCCTTTCCTATACTGATCTGACAGGGCTGTCCACAGCAGTGACTCGTTTGATTGCTGCTTTCATTTTTTTGTTAGTTTTTTTTCTTCAGTGTTTTTCTCTGTGAGTGCGTCTCTTTTAGTGAGGGCTGACTCGCTTGACCTTTAGCAGCTCCCTCTGGACAATGATGTTGACTAGCTCCAGTTCTCATAGTTTCCGTCCAGCCTTAAAGATCTGACCCTCAACTGGGAGAGATAATTATATTTTCTGTTTAAGAAGATTTTTGGAAAATCTGGATTTTTTTCTTTCCTGAATTTGGTAGGAAGAAATAGGAGATTAGTTTTATAAGCCATTTCCCTCAGTCCTAATCTGACCACAGGTCAGTGCTGTTGAAATTCTGCCATTCCCTTGTGAACAGATTTAACATCTGTTAATGTTTTTTAAGCTTGTTTGTTTTCACATTTTTTCTTTCTCAATCATGTTGGAGGCTACAGAGATTGTCACAAACCTGTTCCTGATTTCTATGTATGTGTTGCTCTTTATTCATCAGAATAACCTGAGGCTGCTTTGTGAGTAGATTCTAAGAGGAAAGAAAACTCGAATAGATTTTTATCAAATAATTCCACTGTTTATATAATACAGGACCTACACAGAGGCTTACTTTTCTATCTTATCTCTAGAAGTAACCCAGCACCAGTCCTCTGCGTTCCATCCCTTCCAGTTTCAGTCAGCCCTTAGTAAAGAAATGGCTTCCTTTCTGTTTAAAATACTCCAAAATCCCACTGAGCATGAGGATGGACTCACATCCAGCGCCTGCCAATGCTGAATAAGCTCTGCATTGGTGGTAGCAGGATGCTGAAGAACTTTCCTCATTACTATAGAAATCCTGGTGCCTGATAAGCTATCTTTACCTTCAGCTTTGTTATTGAAAGTGAGTCCTTCTCTTTTAGGTTGTCACGCTTTTTCTTTTTTTTTTTTTCTTTTTTAAGTTTTTACTGCACTAGGGGCTAGTTTTTTCGATAGTAGACTGACAGGAAAGGGGGTATGAGTGACGGGGGGAGACATGCGGCAGAGGACCACAGGTCGGATTCGAACCCGGGTTACTGCGCCACCTACAAAACCGTCTTTTAGGTTCTTGATGATGTAAAAAACTCTATCTTCAGTTGCTTTTTTTTAGCAGCAGTTTCCTTCCTGTGAGCTAATTTCTATGGCAAAGCAGCAGCAGCTGCTCATCAGTCCCTCCCCCATAGCTATCCATCTAATCAGTACACTGACAGCTACACTGAAAAAAACAATCTAGAAATAATTTAAAATTTCCTAAATTAAGTGTATTTACCCTTAAATTGAGTAGGTAAGTTAAATACTTTGCCAATAGGATAAGTATTTTTACTCTTAAAATAAGATCATTAGATAATATACACTTAAAATTAGACAATGCAATTATGTTTTCTTATTTAAAGTATAAATTGTCTTGTTCCATTGGCAAAATGTCTCTTTAACCTCGTCAATCCAAGAACAAATGCACTTATTTTAAGAAAAAATGACTTATTTAGATTTGGATTTTTTGCAGTGTATAGAAGACAAGAGTATAAACAAAATAATAAAGAAATAATTATTAGGAATTAAACAAAAAAGCTTTCTGAGGTCAGATAATGATAAATACTCACTTGAGCAGTTTTAGATCAAATTCATGCATGTTAACTAGTCGCTATGTGCATTTTGAACATTTTATGCGTGCAGATTGAACACCATGAAGTCCCTCAATATGTCACAAACATGAGTGCATGCTCCTTCTCTGCATCCATGGCTTTTGTTTAACACTAGTTTGCCCTTTTAGCAGAGCTCTGACTTCATAAGTTAACAGTGGTTAGCAAATGTTCGGAGTGCTAATGCATGGGCTTCAACTGATTTCAAGACCTGATGGCTAAATGCAATAAAAAAAAACGCATTCAGATATCAGCTTATACTACAAAAAAACTAAACAAATGTTAATATCAACCCAAAATGTCAAAGAACAGTTAGAAACTCATTATTCAAAATAAAAGAGATCAACAGAATTATTTGGCTCCACTCCTGGTTTCAGGATCAGAGAAATAGAGCTCAGATGAACCGCCATCTGCTGCCTGTCAGACATCGATCAGCCTCTGAGCTTCGTGGTTTATGTTCTGAACAACATTTTCCAACATCTGATGTCCAGTTAATGTGCTGCTCTGGTTAATTGGAGGAAATTAGAGGATGTAAATGTTTTAAGGCGGGAGCTTCAAATAAAAAATGATTGTTCTGATGAGAACTGCACTAATAATGCTTCTAGCTTGATTTTACTGCGGTCAAAAAGAAGTTTCTGACAAATGTAACATTTATGAAAGGTTTATTTTCTAATGAAATCTTATGATATTTTAGGATTTGATACCAAAGAAAAGTTCTGATATTTATAATTAGGGCTGGGTATTTTCGCCAAAGTCCTGAATCGATTCGATTTTGATTCATACAGTTCTAAATCGATTAATTTCGATTTGATCTGTTTTTACAATAATGAAATTGGCTCAACTGTGTTTCAAAAAACTCATGTATTACTCATGTAATACAAAGTGCAAACTTGTAAATCAGGCAGTTTAAACATAAGACGTGAACAAAACTGTCTCAAAAGTGCAAACTTGTTTGTGAAAAGGGAAAAAGTGAAGCCTCACCTGAGCAAGCAGACGTGACACAGCAGACATGCATGAGCTGCATTATCTTTAAAGCACAAACCATATTTGCAGCGTTGTCTGTAACAACTACAGGGTGTTTTCTGGTCAGCCCCCATTTGTTAATGTCTTCAGTCAACCTATTAGCTATATTTGCAGCTGTCTGACTTGAAGTAATCTTGAGTGCATCTTTCCTGCTCATTTGAATCTGAACGCCACGCACTATTGGATCGCATACCCTAGACATCGATTTTTCAAAAATGTAAAGGAATCGATTCAAAATCGATTAACTCGATTTTTTTACCCAGCACTATTTATAATGAGACTAATGTCATTTTATGAAGGCATTAATGATACTTTTTCATTTTGTGTGAATATTAGATCCATTAATAATCTATTACAAATCCCGGTTGAACTTTAAAAACTGATTTATAAATAATTGGCTTGTGAAGAACCAGATTTTAAAATGATCACTGATTCTCTTGTTTGATCATTTAGTTGCAAAACGGTAATCTAGAAATTAAGCTAAAGTCATTAATGTAATTTAATAAAGGGAATATGAACATCAATTTGATGAATACCTTTCTTTTTGTAATATGAAGGCTTTTTTGTCATTATTTTTTCTGGAAATAAAAATGAGTAAAAGTGTTTTTCCACACCAGAGGAGGAAACTTATATCAGCAAAAGGAGTTAAACTACAGTTAAACCTCAAATTTAAATTCCCCAAAAAGCAATATTACCATGTCTGAGTACTGAAAAAAACTCATCTAAAGATTATGGTTAATTATCTGAGAAGTGTATAAAACATTTGAGGAATACAAAATCTATTTCATATTTTTGTTCTACTTCTGTTTTCATCCTCTTTAGAAAGAGATTTGTCTCATTTCCAATATTTTATGGGAATTTAATTCCTATCCTGTCTGAATCTGCTCGGACTAATTTGGGGCAGAACTTTTTTCACATTTGACATCTTTAAAAGTTGTGACATAATGAGCATCACCTGTCGCCACCTGGACAGATTCACCTGATAAAAGCTGATTTTTTCTGGATTTTAAGTCCCATCAGTATTAAAAGAACAATAAACCTGGTTTTATTTATCATCATCATTTATAATATTTTCTAATGACAGTATTGGAGCTAAAGCTGGATCCAGTAAGGGTTTTAAATGTTTAATATTTGTTTATGGGCGACCTAATAAACAGCTTTCACATAAGAAGTAACTTGTGGATAATTTTTCACCATAAACCGCTCTTTAAACTGCTTCATCCTGGTGTCTATAAGGGCTTCCTCTGTGTGTGTTTCAGGTTTATGTGATCCTGGCCTGCCAGCTCCTCCTCACCACAGCCATTGTTGCCATATTCACCTTTGTGTGAGTACACAGCATCACCGTTGAGCATTTCTGTCTGTCATGCCGTCATCTGTCAGTAACCCCTCCTGTTTTCCCACAGTGACCCCGTCCGAGTCTTTGTAAGGAGAAACCCGGCTGTATACTGGGCCTCATAGTAAGCCTTCCTCTTCAGCCTTTGAAGCTAAACGCTAAAATAAAAGTGAATATTAACCATTTGTTTTTCTTAAAAGTGCTGTGTATGTAGTCCTCCACCTGGTGCTGGTTTGCTGTAAGGGCCCACGGTGAGTTTTACCGAATAAAACTTTGTTTAGATGATGATCAGCTAATGCTAACGCTTGTTAATCCTTTATTTGTTCAGGAGGAAGTTCCCATGGAACATCATTCTGCTGCTGCTCTTTGTGAGTTTCACTTCTTGCTGCTGGTCCTCAGAAACAGGAAACTAATAAACACTTTCCTGGACTTGGATCAAAATGATTCACGGAGGCTGAAGTGTTTTCCATGTGCTCACAGTTTGAATAATCCCTCTGACCTGTTGCGTCTTTCTCTGCCTTATCTGCTGCAACAGCAAAATGATGCAGCTTTTTCTTTCCGTGGTGCCACACCAGCGTAGGCCTTCCAAAGTAGTGTCAATTGATGGAGTATTTTCTGGACTTAATCGTATTCAGACAGCTTGAAGCTTTTTAGATTTTTGAGCTATATTAACAGACATTTCAATTATTATTTTTTTATTTTGATGTTTGACCAACACAAAATAGAGCAAACCAAAATGGTTAAACATGGTGGTTGCAGTAAAACGCTGTGGGAAACCTGGTCTTTAGCCGGGTCGGAGTTGATGGGAAGATGGATTGAGCTTAATGCAGGAGAATCCAGGAAGAAAAGAGGCTGCGAGGGGGTCCACCTTCCAGCTGGTGGAAGATGTTGGAGTTTGAGGCAAATTTAGGACAGAAAAGTGAAAATCAAAGGCTATTTATGTTTCAGATAGGAAGGTTTAGGTTTGTATCAAATCTTTGTTTTAGACATCCTGTAAAACTTGGAGTGAAAGTTGTCTCTACAGCCTTTTAACTCAGGCTGCTGATTTTTACCCTAGCGTGCATTTCCTTATCCAGGGTTTAAGAGGGTCATTCAAAGTCATTAAATTATTATTTTTTAAATTAAGGCCTTAATTGGCATTGAAATTCATTACATTTGATAATCGTGGCATTAGAATGCTTTGGAAAATAAGCTTGAGTCGGAGAAAAGGCTAGAGAATGGGGAAAATGCAAATTTGAACCAAAGTGGCAGGAAAACGAGGAACTCGGGACATGGCTGCAGCCTGTCCATGGTGAAGATGGTGAAGGATTTTGCTGTGTGTGTATATATACAGGTGCTGGTCATAAAATTAGAATATCATGAAAAAGTAGATTGATTTCAGTAATTCCATTTAAAAAGTGAAACTTGTATATTATATTCATACATTACATACAAACTCATATATTTCAGATGTTTATTTTGTTTAATTTTGATGATTACAAATGACAACAAATGAAAATCTCAAATTCATCATATCAGAAAATTAGAATATAACTGAAGACCAATAAAAACAAAGGATTTATAGAAATGTTGGCCAACTGAAAAGTATGAACATGAAAAGTATGAGCATGTACAGCACTCAGTATTTAGTTGGGCCTCCTTTGGCCTGTATTACTGCAGCAATGCGGCGTGGCATGGAGTCGATCAGTCTGTGGCACTGCTCAGGTGTTATGATAGCCCAGGTTGCTCTAATAGTGGCTTTTAGCTCTTCTGAATTGTTGGGTCTGGTGTATTGCATCTTCTTCTTCACAATACCCCATAGATTTTCTATGGGGTTAAGGTCAGGAGAGTTTGCTGGCCAATTAAGAACAGGGATACCATGGTCCTTCAACCAGGTACTGGTAGCTTTGGCACTGTGTGCAGGTGCCAAGTCCTGTTGGAAAATGAAATCTGCATCTCCAAAAAGTTGGTCAGCTGCAGGAAGCATGAAGTGCTCTAAAACTTCCTGGTATGTGGCTGCGTTGACCCTGGACCTCAGAAAACACAATGGACCAACACCAGCAGATGACATGGCACCCCAAACCATCACTGACTGTGGAAACTTTACACTGGACTTCAAGCAACGTGGATGAAGTGCCTCTCTTCTTTTCCTCCAGACTCTGGGACCTTGATTTCCAAAGGAAATGCAAAATTTACTTTCATCAGAGAACATGACTTTGGACCACTCACCAGCAGTCCAGTCCTGTTTCTCTTTAGCCCAGGCAAGACGCTTCTGACGCTGTCTGTGGTTCAAGAGTGGCTTGACACAAGGAATGTGACAGCAGAAACCCATGTCTTTCATACGTCTGTGTGTGGTGGTTCTTGAAGCACTCACTCCAGCTGCAGTCCACTCTTTGTGAATCTCCCCCACATTTTTGAATGGGTTTTGTTTCACAATCCTCTCCAGCCATCAATTTTGAACCTTTTCACAATATTCTAATTTTCTGATATGATGAATTTGAGATTTTCATTTGTCGTCATTTGTAATCATCAAAATTAAACAAAATAAACATCTGAAATATATGAGTTTGTATGTAATGTATGAATATAATATACAAGTTTCACTTTTTAAATGGAATTACTGAAATCAATCTACTTTTTCATGATATTCTAATTTTATGACCAGCACCTGCATATATATATATATATATAGGTATATAGTCATGGGTATTTGTTGATGGCATTAAAATTATTTCTAAGAGCATTAAAAAGCATTTCATAAGAGTTACTCATTCATGTATAAACCCTGTTATCCTGAAGGATTTTGTTTTAGTTCATTAAATCCCCATAAACTCAGCAGAGGCTTGTTTGCAACATTTCATCATGAACCACTTTAACGGCTCTGTTTACAGTTAAAAGTAGTGATGCACGATATTAAAAATTTCAACCGATACCGATAACCGATAATTTCCTGCTTCTCAGGGCCGATACAGATACCGATACCGATATGTTAAAATGTTATTTAGTTTTCTTATTAACACAACATTAACATAATATATTGATATAATCTACTTTGTGCAGTATAGATAACTGATGAATTAGCTGATTTGACCTATCTATAACAAAAAACAACAACTTGTGACACTGCAAATGTTTATTTCTTTTCATTTCACCAAAAAAAATAAGGTAATCTGCTATAAAACATGTAGCAAGACACAGATATGCATCAAACATGCATCATAATTTAACAAAAAAAGTGCATCTCTTATGGAGGTATGTAATAAAGTAAAGTGCATTCTGAAAACCATTAATGCTTGACTGCATTAAAAAAAAAACTCAGTCATTTAGATAAAAAAAAAATGCTTACAACTTCAACTTAAAAGTTAAATGATTTCCTCTTAACATGTCCTTTGCTAACCACTCCCCAATCTTGTCACTGTTTCATGTCATTACATGTGGTCATATGCCATCATAAAACGTATAGCAAAAGTTCTAACAACAATAAGCATAAAATGTGCCTCTTAATTTTAACAAAACGTACATCCCTAAGGGACGTAAATATTTAAATCTGTTTCAAAAATAAAATGCTTAAATTCTTCAAAACTTCAACTTCAAAGATTTTTCTCTTCTCAACATTTCCTATCCTAACCTCCCCCCAAACTTGTCACTGTCAAATTATCTGCATTATATTTTCTATATTCTGGGGGAGGGCACCAGTGGGAGATTTTTCTTAACAAAGAGAAGCATCTCTGCTTTCTCACATCCAAGTCGGTTTCGTTTTTCATCAATAACATTTGCAGCAGCAGAAAATAAACGTTCACTGTCCACACTTGTACAAGGAGAGGACAGATACTTCCGTGCGAGGAGGGCAAGTTGTGGGAACCGGATTTTGTTGCTTCTCCAGTAGTCCAAGGGGCTCTCGGATCGAGGAATTGTGGGCTCTGAGAGATAGGCTTGAATCTAAGGTAATAGAAGAATAACAAAGAACAAAAACAAAATTATATTTAATGTTATACATAGCATATTTAACATAATATAACATTTTTTTTATCAGATAGCCCAAAGCTTTATATAAACAACAAATCAATTACCTGCTGATCAGCTTGGCTGTGGTTCAGCTCGTTTGTGGCATTTTCGTGAAGGATTTCTTCATACATTTTCTGCAGGGAAGTATTGTTGTTGTTGTCATCTGTCCTGGTTCTCTTCTCATGTGGCTCTGGCTCATTTTCTGTCTGTGATCTCATTTTGGCTGTTAAGACTTCCATTGCTTCCTTCTTTGTTGCTTGGTCAAAAAAGCAGTCTTTATATCTGGGGTCCAACACTGTGGCCAGAAAGCACACGGACTCTGTCGAGATGTGACTGAAACGCTGCTCAACAGCTTGCAGTAGCATACTCTTTGAAGTTTTGATTCCATGATCTGTTGCAACAGTCTTGTTTAACAGACGTTTCAGGGCCTCAATGGAGGGGATCACATCAGCTGCGGTGGCTGTAGCTGAGCTCATGTTTTTTGTCAGCTGCTCACACGGGTCAAGAATTGTTAGCATGTTTTCGATTAAAGCCCACTGATTTGGGCTCAGAAATGCAGGCAAGTCGAAATCGACGGCATATGCTGCCAGGGCTCGTTTCTGCTGCAACAAGCTGGTCAGCATGTAGAAGGTTGAATTCCAACGAGTAGCCACGTCTTGTTGAAGCCTTGCCTCTTTCATGCCAAGTTGTTTCTGTAAGTTTCGTAGGCGGGAGGTGGCGACGTTGGAGTGTTTAAAGTGTCCGACTATCTTCCTGCTTATCGCGACACAGTCTGCGATGCTTCTTTGGCTCAGTACAGCCTCGTTCACAGCTAACTGTAGCGTGTGTGCTACACAGCCCAAACTGGCAAGCCCACACTCCTCCATGGCCTTGATCATGTTGCGTGCGTTGTCCCTCAGCACGACATGCACTTGGTCTTTCGTTATATTCCAGTGTGCAAGCATGGTGTTAAACGCCTGACATATCATTGCGGCAGTATGTGATCCGGGGCACTCCTGAGCATGCAGCATGGCTTGTTGCAAATTAAAGTCCTCGTCTAGCCACTGTGCTGTTAGACTTAGCATGCTAACAGGGCTAACATCGGACGTCCATATGTCTGTTGTGAAACTTATGTGTAGTCCGTTCTGGTCGATTAGGCTGTGGATGTGTGTGGCAACAACATCATAAAGTGCAGGGAGGGACACGTCTGAGAAAAAGCGGCGGCTTGGAAGAGTGTAGCGTGGCTCCAAGTGTGCCAACAGGCTACGAAAAGATGGCTCTTCGACCACGGAGAAAGGCTGGTCGCCGAGTGCAATGAACTCCATTACTTTGCCGTTAATGGCTTTGGTCTTTTCATTGTCTCTCGCAAAGGGTCTACTTTTTTCAAAAGACTGCAGAATGGTAACATCGGATTTTCTTCCTTTAGTTACCGCATTGGTTTCACTGCTTGTGCTAGCGGCTGCAGCCGCTGCCTCATACTCTTTTAATACCTCTTCGCCGCGGTGCCGACTTTTCAGGTGAGATATAAGATTACTTGTGTTAAAGCTTGACGACCTTTTTCCTCCTCTCGGAATCCGCAATGAACAGGCGTTGCATATAGCAAAAGCATTGTCATTTTCTGCCACTGTGAAGAACGACCATACTGGTGAAGGCATGTTTGTCTACTTCCCCACTCACTGGCCGCATGCATTGGATGTGACGTGCCACTGCGCGTCATGGCTTGTGTCTTCAAAATAAAAGTCGTTACTCTTGAACGCAGTTTCCGCGTTTTTATTAAATTATCGGCTATTTTTATCGGGAAAATATGGCTATCGGGCCGATAGAAAATAAGCCCAAATCGGCCCGATAGTTGAGGTGACCGATATATATCGTGCATCTCTAGTTAAAAGGCTTACTTTCAGATATTTCTCAGTCGGCTCCTATAATTTCTGATTTGATAAAAACTTTACACGACTAAATATACTGTTTCTTTCTGTGTCAGACTCTGGCTCTGTCGTACATGACTGGAACCATCTCAAGGTAAGAGACGGAGCAGAAGAATGCGTAGGGAAACGTAAAAAAGCCCGTTTGAACCCGAGGAGTAATCCAGTTTGTTTTTGGTTTCAGTTACTATGATACCAAAGCCGTGTTTCTGGCTCTCGGGATCACAGCTGTCGTGTGCATCGCCGTCACCATCTTCTGCTTCCAGACAAAGGTGTGTGTCCGCCTCTGAAACCCGAAGCTCCCCGTTTAGGAAAAGGTGTTAACATGCTGCCCTGTGGTCTCACCGTCTAGGTTGACTTTACCAAATGCCGAGGCCTCTTCTGTGTCCTTTCGATCGTGATGCTTGTAACTGGAATCATTACAGCCATCGTGCTTTCCTTCAAATACGTGAGTAAAGTCGGGGGGGGGGGGTTGAGTTTAGCAGCCAGAGCTTCATTTTCTTCTAACCGCTGCTTTCTGTTGCAGATCTATTGGCTTCACATGCTGTACGCAGCTATGGGAGCCATAGCGTTCACCATGGTGAGTGTTTTACATCTCAACCTGAAGGATTTCCTCCCTCTAACTTTATATTGTGTTGATTTTTAATCCTCCTTTGTGCTTCCTAGTTCCTGGCATACCACACTCAGCTCCTGATAGGAAACAGGAAGTACTCCATTAGTCCTGAGGAGTACGTCTTCGCCGCGCTCTCCATTTACGTTGATATCGTCCAGATCTTCCTCTTCCTGCTGCAAATTATTGGAGCTTCCAGCAGATGAGGTTGCTGAAGTTCACGCCGTGTCGGACGGCTGCTGGAAAGCACCACGCCTCAAAAACTGGTTTCTGTTTGTCTTTATTCCAACTTTTTACCTTTCTTTTTTCTTTTTTGGATTAAAGGAAAAAAATGATTTGTATTTTAAATATGTTAAAAATAATCCAGGGAAAGAGTCAAACGGCTTAATCAGAATTTTCTTTTTTTTCTTTTTTTTACAGTGTAGGGATCTACAAAAACTACTTTTGTACTTGTAATATACATATTTATACTTTAAAATAGTCTTGATCTGAAAGTTTATACACCCCTGTTTAAATACCAAGTAAAATATAATTAGGTCATTTCAAGAATTAATTATACCAAAGATGTGCTAACTAGACCTTTAAAGTAATACTCTACATTTGTAGAAGTAAACAGTATCTGTAAGAATACTGTGTTTACATTTAGAAAAAAGCTAAACAAAAAACATCAGATGCTATAAAGGCGATGAGGAGAAAAAAAATCTAATCTCACTTCAGCTGTATAGCAGGAACCTAATGGTTAAGGGCTAAAACCTGTTGAGTTCCACCTTAAAAACCTCAGAACAACCCCAGACCATGATGCTGCCACCACTGTGCCTTATCAGATTATTAAACATTCTCCAAAACAGGTTTGGGAATCTGCAGCCAGCTTTGAATCTTTTCATTTGATGAAAGGAATGCTGTCATACCAAGTGGAGAAAAGTGTTGAAATGATTAATTCTCATATTTCTGGGTTATTTAAACAGGGCTGTTTGCTTCAGATTCACTGTAGATACCTACTATGCTTCTTCTTTGCAATGATAAAAAAAAAAAGGCATTTGATTATAATCAATTTTTATGATTATACCACATGTATCCATGGCAACTGCTCTATAAAGGCTTGGTTTATGATGAAAGGTTTTGTATGACTGTTTCAAATGTGGCTGCTTTGTTCAGCCAGATGGAGACGGACGGTCTGAGCCATCAGGGTGAAACAGCTGAACTGGGAGCGTCCTAAAGCTCCCAATTTAACCTGCCCCACCCAGCTGCTTCTCCAGAGGTTCAAACATGCCTGCTGAGTTGCGTAAGCCTTTATTAAAGCAGTAGTGTCAAACATTTAACACGTAAAGCCCATGTAGCTGCTGTAAATGTTTATATATACATCATACTGGGAAAAAACAATCGGTTCGCATTTTCATATAAAATAATTTGTTTCCTTTCTGAGGCTTCTTGCGATTCTTTGTTCACCAGGTGATGGTTATTGTCTGCATGTAGCTTTATTCATTGTATAAATATCTTTGTTTTAATGAGAGCTTTATGCCGGAGTCCAGGAGTCCCGCATGGTGTGATCTATTCACTGATCCACTCTGTGTTGGCGATATCGACTCCCCTCATAGTCGCCCTCGTTGGATCGTTTCATCCTCTGCCTGACCTTCAGCTGCTTCAGGCGGTTTTTGTCCACTTGTCTCTTCGCCAGAATGAAGCCGATTATTCCAGCAGGGAGTCCAATCATCCTGGGAAGACGGAAATATGGATAACATCTTCAAAACACTTTAAATGCACCGTATCACAAAATATCGTAATTATATTTATCCTCAACAGTAAAACTACTGCAGGTGCAACTAATTGTTTCTTTACGCTAATTGCACCAATTAAACCTTTTACATAGATTATGGTTTGCCAGCAGCAGAATGGTATCGTCAGTTTTCTGATTTGTTTTGTTAATGTAAATAAATTAAGGAAAACTTTTCTTAAAGCAGCTTCTGCACTTGGATGTACTCAAAAGGCAGCTGATCATTTCTTGCTTCTTTTGTTTCAAATATAATTCCTCCTCCATTCCTGTTAGCTTGTCATTTGTTTCTCTTGCAGTAGTATCATTCTCGCAGAGCTAACCTGTTTCTTCCTTAAAAGAAGCCCAGGACTACAGGGCAAAATAAAACCACATGGTCTCTGGAGAGGATGAAGGACGACACTCTGGTCCACAAAGCTTTGAGCTTCTGTTTTGGTTCTGTTGAGAAGGTGAACGTTTCTGGGAGGATCAGGGGTCTGTTTCACAAAGCTAGTTTTCTAAAACTAAAATCAGGGAAACCTGAGTTTTCCGTTCCATTAGGAGAGTATTCAACCTCTGTTTCTGTTACCATAGTAACATTCTCCCCATTGCTAACCTGGTCGGTAGCCGGTTTGGCTCAGTGAACTCAAATGTCCTCTGTCTAGGCTCTCCTTACAGCCAATCATGTTTTATTTCCTGATTTAGTCCTTTAGACACATTAGGTGATAAAAACACAAACATGGCATGTCATTAAAGAATGACTGGCATTAATTATCAGAGTTAAATATTTATAAGGATGATCTACACTATATTGCCAAAAGTATTTGCTCACCTGCCTTGACTCACATATGAGCTTAAGTGACATCCCGTTCCTAATCCATAGGGTTCAATATGACGTCGGTCCACCCTTTGCAGCTAGAACAGCTTCAACTCTTCTGGGAAGGCTGTCCACAAGAGTTAGGAGTGTGTTTATGGGAATTTTTGACCATTCTTCCAGAAGCGCATTTGTGAGGTTGCACACTGATGTTGGACGAGAAGGCCTGGCTCTCAGTCTCCGCTCTAATTCATCCCAAAGGTGTTCTATCGGGTTGAGGTCAGGACTCTGTGCAGGCCAGTCAAGTTCATCCACACCAGACTCTGTCATCCATGTCTTTATGGACCTTGCTTTGTGCACTGGTGCACAGTCATGTTGGAAGAGGAAGGGGCCAGCTCCAAACTGTTCCCACAAAGTTGGGAGCATGGAATTGTCCAAAATGTCTTGGGATGCTGAAGCATTCAGAGTTCCTTTCACTGGAACTAAGGGGCCAAGCCCAGCTCCTGAAAAACAACCCCACACCATAATCCCCCCTCCAACAAACTTTACACTTGGCACAATGCAGTCAGACAAGTACCGTTCTCCTGGCAACCGCCAAACCCAGACCCGTCCATCAGATTGCCAGATGGAGAAGCGCGATTCGTCACTCCAGAGAACGCGTCTCCACTGCTCTAGAGTCCAGTGGCGGCGTGCTTTACACCACCGCATCCGACGCTTTGCATTGCACTTGGTGATGTATGGCTTGGATGCAGCTGCTCGACCATGGAAACCCATTCCATGAAGCTCTCTGCGCACTGTTCTTGAGCTAATCTGAAGGCCACATGAAGTTTGGAGGTCTGTAGTGATTGACTCTGCAGAAAGTTGGCGACCTCTTCGCACTATGCGCGTCAGCATCCGCTGACCCCGCTCCGTCAGTTTACGTGGCCTACCACTTCGTGGCTGAGTTGCTTTCGTTCCCAAACACTTCCATTTTCTTATAATACAGCTGACAGTTGACTGTGGAATATTTAGGAGCGAGGAAATTTCACGACTGGATTTGTTGCACAGGTGGCATCCTATCACAGTTCCACGCTGGAATTCACTGAGCTCCTGAGAGCGACCCATTCTTTCACAAATGTTTGTAAAAACAGTCTGCATGCCTAGGTGCTTGAATTTATACACCTGTGGCCATGGAAGTGATTGGAACACCTGATTCCAATAATTTGGATGGGTGAGCAAATACTTTTGGCAATATAGTGTATCTTTACTTTAGATAAGGAATCACTTTAGGGTTAGGATTAGGATTCATTTGCTGATAACAACCTACTGATCCTACTAGTAGGTAGCAGGCACAATCTGATAACGGCCATTTAAAGAAATAACATCTGAAGCGGCTGCAAACAGCAGCTTAGTATTTACTGTGTAATGGAAGACAGAATCAAACTGAGGAGCGACCCCATGGGATGAAGTACAGCTCCTATGTGTAAGAACAATATTTTTATTCCTGCTACCAGACTATTTCACCTAAATAGAATTAATTGATCCACAACCATTCAAGCAATACATTTGATTTTCGATTAATTTTATAGTTGTTACAAAAGGCTATGGCAGGCAGGTTTGATATGTATTAGTTTGACTGAATATGTATTTTTGATATGTGGGGGGAAAAAATGTTTCCTTTGTCAAAATTACCATTTCAAACAAAATGACATTCTTCACATCTAGAATAAACATTTTTGATGTCTAGGCATTAATTTCAGATCTCCATATTCCTATTGTTAGTGGTCAGAATTTGCATTATTTTGGCTATGAAGAAATGTATTTCAGATATAATTACATATTCACTCAAGCTGATAAAAAGGCAACTTAAATGTGTGAACATTTCTAGGTATATAAAACTTAATTCTTACTAAAAAGCAATTTTATTTTTCTGAAATTCAGTTTCTGTTGGCAAAAATGTGATTTAGAACCTCTATTATTACAGTTCCAACTAGGAATGTGGTTTTGATCAGGAAGAATCCTAAAGGATACAAATGAAAACAAAACAGAAGACTGTTTTTAATTCGTGTCAAAATGGCCTGCCACACAGTCTACATATAAACTTACGCATGAACTTGGCAGCGATCTTCTCCAGCGCCATCTCTCTGTCCTTTGCACCTGTAGCTCCGTATTTTTAAACATTCTCCACTTTTTTTTTATTCTCCATTAAAATCTAGTTCCAGTGGGATGAAATAGGCACTTCCTGTTGGCTTTTCATACTTGTTACGCACATGCTCAATTATAAATAAACCTACCCATAGTGCATTAAATTAACTCACAGCAACTTCTAACAGTAACCATCAGTTCCCGAATATTAGGCTAGATTAATTTGGATTGGAGAATTAAAAGTCTGTTAATCCTGCTTTTTTAAACGGCCCTGTGCAGTTATTGAAACCAGAGTTTGTTTTCGTTTTTCCAGGACCTGACTTGGAGACAAAGATGGGAATTGGACACATAAATTCACTCACAAAAGCAAATATTTCCACAGTTAATCTATGTCTAATGACTCCATAATAACTATAGTATCGAAGTTCTACAGCAATCAAACTATTAGCAGTATACAAAGAAAATACATAATGTGCAGTGTATCATACAGCACATTATATTTTATATATATTAAATAGTAATTAAACCTATTTTAAGTGTGTTACCCTAAGTCAGGGGTTGGCAACCCATGGCTGCAAAGCCGTATGCGGTTCTTTAGGACCCCTTGCGGCTTAAAAATGGAAAAAGGAATGGATTTTTATTTTTTTGTTTCTTTGTCTTAATATGGTGTGCAGAAGGTAAAACAAGCATTCATTTTGTTTCTAATGCTGTAAAAGTCTGTATAATTAATACATTTTAAAAATACATTTTAATTTCTTTCCACAAAGATTTGCAACACGTTTCGGCTCGGTACCGGGCAGGTGGCTTTTTTAAACAAAGCGACGGGTGTGTCTCGAGCCATGGATCCCAAAGGGGAAAAAAAGGAAGATAGCAACTGAGAAAAGAGGATTCAAAGAAGAATGGACCGATCATTTTCTTTTATTTCCAATGCAGAAGGATTGCCTGCATGTTTGTTTTGCAATCAAAAGTTGTCAAGAAATATAAAGAGTAACTAAGAAAGGCATTTTCAGGGAAAGCATGCTAAACATGCAGGAGTGATAGAAAATGTGTGATTGCAGAACTTCTGGATAAATTACACGAGGAGAGCAAAGATAGATTAAAGAGGTGGATTGCATCTCCAAACTCCACCACTGCTGCTAGTTTTGTTGCAAGGATGGAAAACCGTTCAGAGCTCAAGGTAGCGTTCTTATGCAGGGATGTGAACTTCCAATTTTTTTTTGTTTTTTACCCCAAATCTTCATAATAAAAATAATAAATCTGATTTCTATATCATATTTCTATAATTCCATCGATTCAGCAAAACCTAATTAATACTGTGATGGAATTTAACCGTAAAGCACCAAATATCATACAGCAGACTAGTCACATGATGCGACATTTTCTCCAGAGTACACATTTAATCATGAATGCTTATTATATATATATATATATATATATATATATATATATATATATATATATATATATATATATATATATATATATCCCACAGTCTTTTTTTTTTTTTATAGTGGGCTAATACACTTAGAGCCTGTGCTGCCACACGAGGCTTATAGAAGACTTTTACTTTTGTTTTGCTCCTGACAGACTTGTTTTTATTTTTTTATCCAATAGGACTGAACAGTTTGGGTTGCCAACCCCTACCCTAAGTATATACCAATGTCATCATATTTAAAAATGCTTGAATACTAATTTAGTATACTACAATGTTTTGAGTTTTAATTAATGTGTTTGCTATTTTGACAAAAAAATACTATAGAACTATTTATTGATATGTTTGCAATGTAGCTACCCAACTAAAGTCAAAATACATTTGAAATAAATCAAAGAATATTTGACTTTATTTTTCTGTTCTTTAACAATAATAATGTCTGCAATTTAAAAGAAGCCTAACTGATAATTGGCCAGCCACCATTTCTCATTTACTTAGGTTAGCAGGGTAAACAGGAAGTGACGTCAGCTCACCAAGCATAACCTATCTTCATCATAGGGTTCTTGGCCTTCCGCCTTGGGATATACTCGGGTCCTTCCAGCTCCTCCTCCCCGCCTCCCCCTGTCGGAGTGTGGGCAGCCTCGGAGCTCTGTGTCGGTTCGGTTCTGGAGCTGTTCAGTCCGGCGGTGGGGAAGACATGAAGCCGCAGACGGTGGCACACTGTCGGTGTCGGAGCGCCGTGTCTGAGGAACCACCGGCAGGAGCCACCTGGAGGACAAACCCAGTTCCTGACTTTAAACCAGCCACTCTGCCTCCTTATCAAACCATGCTATGGTGTTTATAACAGGAGTTGGAAGTAAACCATATCTAAACAAACCCGGGACAGCTTTGAAACCCTATAAAATGAAACTCTAAGTTACGCTGTTTACAGAGAGTCATAATAAAATAAAAAATTGTGACTATGAATCCTTAAAAGTGAGCCCTTTTGAGATAAAGAAGGTTTACCTGTCAGAGATGCCCTAAGTGCAACCAGGCAGGAGGCAGACATGTTGGAGGAATAACAGGAAATGCGCATGCGCGTTATTTCATGTGTTGAGATGTGCCCCACCTGGTGGACAGTTTTGGTAAAGGTTTATTAAATGGTATTCCAAACAAATGCCTAGAATACATTCATAACAGGACGACGGATACATTTGTTAGTACCAATCCTCAAGGATTATATTTTGAAATTATAAAGGCTTTAAGCACTCAGGTCAGGGTTATTTTATTGTATTTTATTTTTTTTTAAAAGTTAGAACTGTAAACATACAGTCATGTGTTTATATCACTGTTTTTATGTATTTTTTTTTTTTACTGTTTTCAAGGCTGCACTTTAGACAATTAAATTTTTTTAGAGAGCTTTTCTTAACGAAATTTCTTTTTGTTTACACTTTTGTATACAAAATGACAACATAAATTAGTCTAAGGTTGTATCACTGTGGATGATTGAAGCAGCAATACAAATTAATTAGTAACCTAGAATTTCCTTCTTTAAGAAATTTCATCTCATGAACAAAAACAGAAGTGACAGTCGTTAAAAATACATATCTATAGCAGCTGGTATTTTGGACTGATATATGCAAGAGTTGGCTTGGAGTGAAAAAGTGTACAAAAAAGATGCAAAAAAGTTTGTGTAACCATGACAACAGCTGGAATAATTCTATTAGGCCATTATTATCTTACCTCTAAGGCTCAGAAAAAAAGGGGAACCAGTTTGTTCGTCTAAACCTACAAGTTTGATTCTTTGACTGAAATTAACTTTTCAGTGATAACTGTGATACACTCTCACCAAGGCAGATGTTTAATTAATGTTTTATTACTAGAACAAACATTCCCAAATATTACAATACAGCTTGAGAACAAAGCACTGGTGTCTGCCTATGAGACAGTTTGCAACACAATGAATAGTCCCATAGTTCAGAAAGGTTCAACTGACCAAAACAGCATATTTACAACATCATATTTTGCTACAAGTCAAATTTTAAGCCTTTGTACAGCAGAGAGGGATTCAAACATCCTTCTGAGACACATGCGGAACAAGTGGGGATCAAACAGGTCGGCTTCCAGAGATGGTTCAGTCCTCCAGGATGTAGTTGGGGTTGACGACCAGAACAACCTCTCCCTCTGAGCTTTCGGATTCTGAGCCCTTGAGCCCGGCCTGAGTCAGCTCGATCAGGATGTGGTCCTATCGGAAACACGTTGCACAGAACTCTGCGTTAAAACAATCGGATTTTATCTCTTGTAAAAATATATATGAGCAAACTGAACTCACGTAGTGGACCAGCCTGTGGATGACCTTCTCTATCAGGCCTTTCCTGTTGATGAGCTCCTCCTCAGAGTCGATCTCCGACTCAATCTCCTTCAGATACCAGTTGACCACCGCCGTCTTCTTCAGCTCTTCCTCTTCTTCAGCTGCAGTATGAATTAAGAGGATAGAGGAACAGGAATGAGCGACGTGTGGAAAAGGATGAAGATCTTATTTTGTGTATATTTCTCACCGTCTTCTGCTCGGCGCAGATGCAGGACCAGCAGGTTAGAGATGCGTTTGTACTCGGCGAAGGACAGACGAAGAGAGGGCTTAGGCTGAGTGCCGTGGTCCGCCTCACCGTTCATACCATCGACGTGGCCGTTGACTCCGTTCACATGACCGTTGATACCGTCCACTCCATTCGGGACATTGTTCCCTACAGAACAAAACAGATTGAATCTCATTTTACTTTGCCCTTCCACTAAACTGCAGGCTTCCATCCCTCTAAGCAGCCAGGTTTACATTATTATGATCAATCCTACCGTCTTCCTGCTGCTGCTCATCCTCCATTTCCTCCTCCTGCTCCAGGTTGATGTCAGGCGTCTCCACCCTGATGATGGATTTGTTCAGCAGACGGAAAGCTTCCTTCACATGTTTAGGCTGCACCTAATTACACAGACAGAAAGAATCCACCTCAGGTTTTCTAATAATTAGGCAGAACTCATAAAAAGGTCCCATTTACACTAATGAAGAGCAATACCTCATCGCAGCAGTGCATGCGTGCCATGGCCTCTGAAAGGCGGATCATGCTCTCCAGCTGTCGCACAGTTATCCTCCAGGCAGACTTGGACACGCTACCGGAGCCGTCGCGCTGACGGAGACGCTTGTACTGCTCCACGATGAACTCCTCAGACTCACTGGAGATCTAACATGGAGAGAAGCAGAAGGAGCATCTTTAGGCGACAGGTCAGAAACAGGAGATGCCAACATCTACGCCTTCTGAGGTAATCATATCCTTAAATATTACTTTTTTCCCCACAAACCTCAGTGTATTTAGTGAAATTGTATATGAACCATCAGCAGAAAGTAATAGATGATTGCAAAATGAAATGAAAAAGGATACAAGTTCTATTTTTTTTCTTTTTATAAAACCCTAGAAGGCTTTGTGTGCATCGGGGTGTCAGTCACATATTTTAATTCAATTCAGTTTATTTCTATAGCGCCAATTCACAACACATGCCATCTCAAGGCACTTTACAATTCAACCAGATCTGTCTAAGGAAAACCAGTTGATTGCATCGCCTCATTGACTCAAATGCAATCCCTCACGCTAAACATGCTTGTAGCGACAGTGGAGAGAAAGAACTCCCTTTTAACAGGAAGAAACCTCCAGTAGAACCAGGCTCAGTGTGAGCGGCCATCTGCCTTAGGTCTTACCACATATTTCCCAATGGCTTTTTTATAAAACTAATCTATATATTAGATATGAAAATAGATTAAATACAAAACAAAAAGATTTAAATAAGTTAATTCCATATAATAGTTTGAAATATAATATTTTAGGGAACCATGCATCATTTTTCATTCACTTTGTGCATTACTTTGTTTTTCTTTTTCACTATCAGAACAAAATCCTAATAAACACTGAAGTTTATGGTTGGAACTGAGGACATATTCATAATTTAGGAAGGAAGGAGAACCTGAGAATCCAGCCTCCACCCACCTTAGGTTTGAACTGCCGAGCGAAAAGCAGATATCTACGGATCTCATCCAGAGAATAGAGCCGGTCCACAGACTCCTCCACACGTGAGTGCAGGTCCACGATGCGCCTGGCGATGGCGTAATCCGTGACCTGAGACACACAGAACACGGATTAGATTGAAGGACGAAACATTAACGGCGGAATAAACCGGACAGACTGATCAGCGCACCTCGTTACATTCGTCCACCAGGATGAAGAATAGGTCGAAGCGGCTCATGATGGGAGCGGACAGGTTGACGTTCTGCTTCAGACTCTTGCTGCGGTCGTAGCGCCCACTGACGGGGTTGGCAGCAGCCAGGATGGAGGTGCGTGCGTTCAGGGTGGCCTGCAGCAGAAAGTGGAGTCGTCTGAGCTCTACATGGATTATTTTTTTAATCCCAATCTGGGTATTTAAAGGGGGCTGTTACCTTGACTCCAGCCTTGGTGATGCTGATGGTCTGCTGCTCCATGGCTTCATGGATGGCCACCTGGTCCTTGAGGTCCATCTTGTCGAACTCATCAATGCAGCACACGCCCTAAAAAAAAAGCAAACATCAGGACAAATGCGCTCTGCTGATGGATGAAAGGCTCGCCGAGCTACAAAGCCTCACATTGTCTGCCAGCATCAGGGCTCCGGCCTCGATGACAAACTCGTGGGACTCCTCGTCACGGACGACAGCAGCCGTCAGACCGGCGGCGCTGCTGGCCTTGCCGCTGGTGTACACAGCTCTGGGGCTGAACTCCTCCACGTGTCTGAACACACAGGGGGACACCGGGGGGGTTAATCACGTCTGCAGAGAAGTCAACATTCACATTCCCGGCTGTTTCCATACTTGAGGAACTGGCTCTTGGCGGTACTCGGGTCTCCGACGACGCAGACGTTGACGTCTCCCCTCAGCGAGGTCCCCTCCATGGTCGTCTTGGGAACGCCTCCGAACAGCATGAGCAGGATGCCGCGCTTCACCTCGTCGTTGCCTAAAGGATCAAACATCAGCGTCAGTCAGCTAAAGGGTCAAAGGTCAGAGGTTTGGAAAGGCCTGTGGAGGCCGGCGGTCTGACCGTGGATGGTGGGGAAGAGGCTGGTGCACAGGTTGTGGTACAGGTTCTTGTCCTGGCTCATCTCAAACACCTTCTCCCACTCCTTCTCCGTCATCTGACTCTTGATGCTTTCGGCCGTTTGCTCCTCGTCCCGCAGCTCTTTACCTCCAAACTACAGCAGGAGGAGACAGTTCTAGTCTAATAGCACACATCTGGATTGTTTAGGGGATGGTCAGCTGCAGTGTTGGTTTCTTACCCGTGGGTTAGTGGGCGCCACGTTACATGCCAGGAAGGCCAGTCTGTACGACAGCTCTCTGACTCCCAGAGCTTTCAGTCCCCTCAGACCCTCAGACTCAAAGCCCTGAGGACCTCCAGGAACGCGAGTACTGGTCTCTGCTCGCAGGCCTGAGGAGATCAAAGCCATAAATCATGAAAAGCCCAACGGGTGAAATTTAACTGCTAAGGAGTGAAGCCGTACCAGGAGTGCTGAGCTGGGAGACGTCCGGCACTACGATGAGGGTCCCTGTGAAGTCACAGCGGTCCCCGGCCTGAGCTGTCTCTACAGCTTCTGCCCTCAGGATGATCTCCATCGATCGTGGGATGGATCCCCGAGGCAGCTCCGCCTGCGTCTCCTGGATCCTCACCTGAGAGCACAGAAATCAAACCGCATCAGAAACTCTGCAGGCGGCGACCGCCGCCAATGCGACGCGCCCATCCTTACCACCTCACCTTCTGGAAGTCGATGAACTTGGATTTGTGCGTGTCCAGGTGGAAGCGGGAGCGGTTGCTGCAGACAGGGTTCCTGCAGATGGTGGGCGGGGAGTACTTGAACTGCTGGGGAACGTCTTTGATCACCGCCTGGCAGTCCATGCAGACGAAGGTCCCGCTCACCTGCAGACACACAGGAACCGCCGCATAGGTTCACGGTCCGCCAACCACTTGGTATTGAATCATCACCCCAAAGCCCAACGAAGCAGGTAAACTCACCAGCTCAGGATGGACCGGGTGAGTCCTCACCACCTGACCACTGATCTTCACCAGAGTACCGATACGCATGGAGGACA